CCTCGTGGTCCCCTCAGCCCTGGCTTGGTGACGCCTTCCCCTCCGCTGCCAGAAGCGGATACGGAAGCCCGGCACGTCCAGCCTGAGCACTGCCAAGGCCTGTGGCGGCCGCAGGTTTGCTTTCTGCACTCCACACTCAGTTCCCTCAGCCCACTTAATCTGTGTCTACCCAAACATTATTTTTTATTTTATTTTATTTTTTTGCTTACTGCTATATTTTGTCTTCTCTTTCAAAGTTAAAGATCCATCAGTTTATATTCTTTTGTGTTCGGCAGATTAGTCTTACTGTTTCCCCAAGTTGCCTTTCTGCTTTCTATCTTGACTGAACTTCTGTATCACTTATGTTCAGAAGGGTCACAGTCTCATGTTGAGAGCGCTCTGTGCTGGAGGCCGCCTGCTCTTTGGGTTGTTCTCTCCTGAGGGGGCCGGAAGCCAGGAGACTCGGGCCTCTGCGGGAATGGCTAAGGGGGGCGGGCAGGTGCACGCAGCCACTGTGCCCCAAGGCCCAGGTAAGGGACGAGTGGTTTGTGCAGGGGGTGCACTGTGCGCCAGGCTCAGAAAACTGGGCTTCTCCCCTCCAAGCTAAAGCAGTAAGCTCTGGGGTGGGCGGAGGCGTTTCAAAGGTAGAGGGGAGGGTGTCAGCGGCTGCCAGCGAGGAAAACTTAATAATTTCGTCTACGAAGCCTAATTACATGAATGATCTCTCCCGGAGTAAGCCCCTTTCCAGATCTGTGGGTGCCGTGTGGCTGGTATTTCAAGTATGTCCATCTGCATTTAAACGAATTGCTCCAAGACAATCTGATTATGTGGTAGTTACTTTGGTGAGCATAGCGCCTCAGTGAATGGAAACTTCATTTTAAGTCTAATATTAGACCTTGCTTTGGAAAATTCCTTTTAAATGATCACAAGCTGGGAATAGCAAAAGAATTTAACTTTCGACAGACAGCAGTCACTAAGAATTTTTAACTGCTTGTGCTGGGTCTCTGGGAACCCCCACATGTGAGAAACCCAGTGAGCTCAGTGACCTCACGCAGGGTTGACCCGACTTGTGGTGGGGTTTGCATCTGCGGCTGAGTGGCGCCCTCCTGGCCACGAGGCTGCAGATGTGTTCCTTCCTTGGCCATGAGCAGCTCAGGGATGAGACTGTCAGGAGGCCTGATTGTCCCTTGGGAGACGGGCTTGGCTTTCCGGAGTATCCTGGGAACTTGGTGGACCAGCCTCCACAGAACACTTATGCCTTGTCTGGCTGCTTCGTCTGCATGACCCCCCTCCCCCCGCACGTGCTCCCCCAAGTTAAAGTGTCAGCTAAGCCTGAAGTCTTCCCCACAGCCTGTCATTTAAAAAGAAATAGAAAGCTTAACTGATCACGAAGTTTCCAGATCGTGTCTGCTTTGGAGTAATTTCTGGACGTGTTTTAGGTGCCTTGATTTGGGAAGAGCGGTAATTGTGCTTTAAAAGGCTTTCCTAAAATTGAAATGCATCTTTCAACCACCCTGTGTCGTATGTTGGTGTTTTTCCTTTCACCTAAGCTGGTCACGCAGTTGATGGAGCCTTAGAACTGGGGAGAAACTTAGTAAAAACAAGCTCACTGGGCAGATTGCGGCACCGTCCTCAGGGTTCCCCGCCATCTCTGGTCTTCACACCAGCTCTGGGGTGTGTGGGGGGGGTTATCCTGAGCTTGGGCTGGGGGCAAAGAGACCAAAGGCCGCTAACTCGTCCTTGGGCTCCAAGTGGCCCAGGAGGGGCTGTGTGGGAGCTCAAGCGGAGCTCAAGCGCAGAGCTCGCGAGCCTGGGAGCCCAGAGCCTGGGAACCCAAGTGGGCCCTGGCCCTCTGCCCACCCCCCAAGTTCTTAAATGTTCTTGCCTTAGGGTTCTTTAAACTGTTAAAAGTTGTTGAGGAGCCTGGAACTTCTGTTTATATGGATTCTGACTTCTGATATTCACGGCATTTGAGTTGAAACTGAAACTTAAAACAGATTTACTCACCCCCCTCCCCCCAGTGCTACAGATTCAACCCAGGGCCTCACACCTGCTAGGCAAGTGCTCTGCCACCAGGCATAAATGACATTTTTATTAAAAATAACCATGTTTCCAAACAAAAACAGCAGTAAGAATCATCTCTCTTCTTTGTGTCTCTGTTACGTGGTAAGATGGAGCAGCTGGCTTCTCGGGCCCTCGGCGTGCTTTCTGCAGTGCTGGGCTTGGCTGAGGTACCTGAGGAAAGCTGTCCTCAGAAGAGGAGGCTGGCAGGCGGGAGGCACTGTAGGAGCTTCTTTGGACAGTGTTCTCCTCTGACACTACACCACAATTCGCACGTGGTTGCTCCTCTGCCTCTCCTTCCGTTCCCCTTCTCTGCCCCTCCCTGCACCCCTCTCCCTCCCCCTTCTCCTCTCTCCCCCTTCCTGTGCTCCCCCCAGACATGGTCTCACTGGGTAGCTGAGACTGGCCCTAAACTTGGGGCAGTTCTCTTGCCTCTGCCTCCTGCATGCTTTGATTATAAAAGTGCACTACCACACCCAGCAGGTGATTGTTCCTTAAAGGCTATCCAGTGTAGACTCTGAACTTACGCCAGAACTTTTGGTATTCTCTCTCACTGAAATCCTTTGGTCTAGCTGGGCCTGGGCAGAGTGTTGCATGGCTGTAATCTCAGCGCTTGGGAGGCCGAGGCAGCAGGATCCCTGAGTTTGAGGCCAGCCTGGGCTATGCAGGGAGACCCTGTCTAAAAACAAAATAAAACACCAAACACCAAAACAAACCCAACAACTCTAAAGTGCTTGGTCTGCAGTCATCTTTGCTGAATTCTGAGTAACGTATGTAGATGCGCACACGCCCTCTCTCCAGGAAGCAGGGCGTAATTCCTCCCTTGGGGGTGTGATCGCTTATGGACTTGCTTCCAAAAATAGAACTAGGGCAAGAGAAAAATGAGCGACTTCACGGTGGGAATGCTCCTCTAAGAAGGCTGGGGGTGAGTTAGCATCCGCGGTGTCCTGAGGCGGCCCTCGTGTGGCCGAAGCACAAAACCCACAGCCCCGCGGGGTCATGAGGAGCATGACGGGCAGCCACGGCATGCTCAGGAGGCCGGGCCAGGCCGCTGTGCATCGCCAGGGTCCTGCACGACACGGGAGGCCTGAGGGGCTGGTGCACGCCGGAAGAGCAGGCCCGCGGCTGCCAGCTGCGCATGGTGCTCTAGAGCGCCCCGGCGGCCGAGAGGACGTCTGGGCTGAGGGTTGGCTCAGTGGCCAAGCTCTTGCCCGGCTTGCGTGAGACCTAGATTTGATTCCTGGCACTGAAGAGGAAGCACAGAGTAAGCTCAAGAGGACAGTTTTGGGGAACACAAGTAAAATCCACATAAGGTGCGGAGCTTCACAGTCTTGTGCCAATGTCAGCATCTTCATTTTGGAGGCTGAGGCAGGAAGATCACTGAGTTTGAGTCTGAGTCCACCTTATGCTACAAAGCAAGATTCTGCCTTAAAAACAAACAAAAACCCCTTAGCTGTTAAGCTCCTGGTGGTTATCAATTTCAAAAAATTCTAATTTTCTATTGATAGCTCAGTTTTTAATCATTGGTAGCAAACACTTGTCTGTGGTTTTCCTTGACATGACAGGTTTTTTTTTTTTTTTTTCCAGAAAAATAGATATCCAGTACCCAGGATGTACTATTAGTCATTCTTTCAAGTAAAAATGACAATTAGTGTTGGGGGGGGGGAAGGGCTCAGGCCTAGGATGTAGCCCAAGGGCAGAGCACTGGCCTAGCCTGTGTGAGGCCCTAAGCCAGTCCTCTTCCCTGCTCCAGCAGTCACACAAGTGCCAGAACCTCAGGACAGCTGTCACGCGTTGGGACACAGCGCCAGTGTTCTCTGCTTCGCTCTGTGGAGTGGCTCGTGGCCCCTTACAGCGAGTGCGCCTGACCCAAGCTGTGGGCTCGCAGTTGCGTGCTGGGAAGGCCACACATTTTAATACGCCGTGGGAAAAGGTGATCCCTGTGGCCGCAGAGGGCCGAGCATCCTGGAGTATGCTGCTCCTGTCAGGTTGTTGAGAAGCGCAAGCATGCCCTCACGGAGCCCAGAACCTCTTCCCGTGGGACTGCGGGTATGAAGGCGCCTCCTCGGGGCCAGCTTCCACGTTGCAGGGCCCCAGGGATTCTCCCCCTGCTCACTGTTGTCCCACGTTGCAGGGCCCCAGGGAGTCTCCCCTGGTCACTGTAGTCCCACGTTGCAGGGCCCCAGGGAGTCT